ATTTCCAGGCCTGGTGAGGGGCTCCGAGCCCCCCAGAGGCATAGGATGACCCCCTGAAGAGCTGGGCTGCACTGCACCCCTGGCCTTCCCTCCTCTCCTCGTGTTCAGTTGGGGTGGAGACGGCTCGGGGTTGGAGGGCAGACACTCAAGGGTCTGCCGCCTCAGTGTGTCCAGGACCCTGGGGTATACCCAGCATGCCCAGCCCTGTGTTCTGCCTAAGGCCCCCAGCCCCTTCCTTAGGAGCCCGTCCCAACTGGCGCCCCACCTGCTGCGTCTGTATGTCCTTCCTGGCGGCGAGGCAGAGCACAGAGCGGCCTCGGTGCCAGCGAGGCCTGGGTCTGACCCCAGACCCTACACCTGCCCGGGGCAGGGGAGGGGGCACGGGGCATCTGACTGTGCCCGGTGTGTTCCAGCGAGAACGAGGCCCTGTGGCGGGAGGTGGCCAGCCTGCGGCAGAAGCACGCCCAGCAGCAGAAGGTCGTCAACAAGGTGCGCGGTGGGCCCGGCGGGGGGTGGGGTTGTGCGCCGGCTGGGTCCCATCCTCGGCCGGGCTGACTGTGCCTTTCCGCCCACAGCTCATCCAGTTCCTCATCTCACTGGTGCAGTCGAACCGGATCCTGGGGGTGAAGAGGAAAATGTGAGGCGTGGGGGGTGCCTGTCCCTCAGCCCAGGGCCCCGGGCCACCCTGTCTCCTGTTGGCTGAGGCCTGGGCGGCCGAGGCCTGGGGGAGGGCCCTGACCCCCCCTCTCCCCCCACAGCCCCCTGATGCTGAACGACAGCAGTTCGGCACATTCCATGCCCAAGTATGGCCGGCAGTACTCCCTGGAGCACATCCACGGCTCAGGCCCCTACTCGGTGAGCACACGGTGCGGCAGGGCTGGCCCCAGGCGGTGCGGCAGGGCTGGCCCCGGACCGTGCGGCAGGGCTGCAGCTCCTACCACACAGGTCACCTCCCTTCGATGGCAGGCTCCCTCCCCGGCCTACAGCAGCTCCAGCCTCTACTCCCCAGATGCCGTGGCCAGCTCCGGACCCATCATCTCCGACATCACCGAACTGGCCCCCAGCAGTCCCTTGGCCTCCCCGGGAGGAAGCATAGACGAGAGGTGGGGGCCACGTCATCCAACGGTCGGGAGAAGGGGGGGGGCCCACAGAAGCGGTTACTGAGGTGTGTGTTCCCCGTGTGCACAGGCCCCTCTCCAGCAGCCCCCTGGTACGCGTCAAGGAGGAGCCCCCCAGCCCTCCTCGGAGCCCCCGGGTGGAGGAGGCCAGTCCTGGACACCCGTCCTCTGTCGTGGAGATACCCCTGTCCCCAACCGCCCTCATTGACTCCATCCTGCGGGAAAGCGAGCCTGCCCCCACCACCCCGGCCACACCCCTTACGGATGCAGGGGGCCACCACCCCTCACCCTCGCCCCCACCTGCCTCGGCCCCTGAGAAGTGCCTCAGCGTAGCCTGCCTGGACAAGTGAGTGCCACCCCAGTCACCCGCACTGCAGCCCCTGGAAGCACAGCTAGGTCTCTAGCCAGGACCGTCCTGGCGGGGCTGGAACGGGGGGTCGTCAGGCTGTGGACACGGGTTGCTGGGGGAGACGCCAGCAGACCTGGCCCTGAGCTCAGAACTTGCTTGTCCCACGTCCCCCATTGCCTCAGGAGCCAAGGGCATGTGGCCTCACAGGCCTGTCCCACCTCTCTGAGCCACTCTGGCCACTGCCCCTGTCCTGCTGCCCAGCAGAGGGCTTGCCCCAGAGGCCAGGCAAGCAAGGGCGGGGGGCACGGAGTCCACCTGGCCCCCACCTGCAATCGGGGGGCTCTTGTCTTTGTATCTTGCAGTTTGGCTCGCGCTCCACAGATGTCTGGGGTCGCCCGCCTCTTCCCCTGCCCCTCCTCTCTGCATGGCCGAGTCCAGCCAGGGTTAGCGCCGTCCCCACTGGGGAGGGAGGAGGGCTCCGCCAGAGCTCAGGCCCCTCCCCAGCCTCGGACCAGACCCTGGCCTGGCCATGAGCACTTGGCCCTGCCTGGTGAACAGGCGTCCCAGGCCCTCTGCAGCAGGGAGCAGCCCTCCCCCCCACCCCAGGCTCTGGGGCCCAAGCCAGTGCCCCAGGTCACTGACGGACAGCGCTGGGCTTCCCAGCCTGGCAACTGCTACCGGTGCAGCCAGCGTCCTGGCTGCTGTGCTGACCAGCTTCCCCTCAGGGCGGGGCGGGGCCCCGTGGACACCTCCCAGAGCCGGCCAGGCCACCCGTCCAGTGGCACAGGTCCACCAGGTGGCCCAGGACCTTCTTGGCCACTGTCTCCAGACCCAGGGCAGAGACCAGCCCTCCACACCCTGCCCACGGTTCCCTCTCCCCATTCCTGCTGTCTTCCAGCGTGAAGGCAAGACCTTGTCAAGCCTGAAGAACTGCCCCCAGCCCGTCCTGAGCACTAAACCCCTCCTGGGCCCCCCTGCCATCTTGGCCCAGACCCAAGTGCTGCCAGAGGCCTTACTGGGCCTCACGGTGACAGGACCGGCTGGCACGCACGTCCCCTGGGCCCACACCGGGTGCACGACGGGGCCCCAGCGGGCTGGGCTCTAGCTGAGGGCAGCCCCCCTGGCTGGTGCACGTGCGTGCTGGCAGGAAGGCATCTGGCTGGGGGTGCCTAGAGCTCCACTTGACCTGCCCCACCCACTCTGGCTAGGACTGAGCTCAGTGACCACTTGGACGCCATGGACTCCAACCTGGACAACCTGCAGACCATGCTGACAAGCCACGGCTTCAGCGTGGACACGAGTGCCCTGCTGGATGTGAGTGCCTCCCCACCCCCACCCTGCTTCCAGCCCATGGGCACAGCCTGACTGCCCTCCCCTCCCTGCAGCTGTTCAGCCCCTCGGTGACCGTGCCCGACATGAGCCTGCCCGACCTTGACAGCAGCCTGGCCAGCGTGCGTAGGCGGGGCGGGGCGGGGCTGGCGGGGGAGTCGGGGTGGGAGGGGCAGCGAGGGGAACCCTCACTCTGCCCCCTCCTGCCCCAGCAGATCCAGGAGCTCCTCTCTCCCCAGGAGCCGCCCAGGCCCCTTGAGGCAGAGAACAGCAACCCCGACTCAGGTGAGCCGAGCCCCGAGCCCCTGCCCTGCCCCGCCCCAGCGTCCCCACCTGCCGGTGCCCTGACCCAGCCCCCACCCCCAGGGAAGCAGCTGGTGCACTACACGGCGCAACCCCTGTTCTTGGTGGGCCCGGGCTCCGTCGATGTGGGAAGCAGCGACCTGCCCGTGCTCTTCGAGCTGGGGGAGGGCTCCTACTTCTCGGAGGGGGACGACTACACAGATGACCCCACCATCTCCCTGCTGACGGGCTCCGAGCCCCCCAAAGCCAAGGACCCCACTGTCTCCTAGAGGCCCCAGGAGGAAGGCTGGCTGAGGGGCTAGGTGTGGGCCCCGGTGGGCAGTGAGGGCCCCAGCCCTGCGTGCCACGGCTTGCTTGAGGCTTCACAGCCTCACTGGGACTGACCAGCACTGCGCGTGCTCAGTCAGGATTGTATTTTGGATTTTTACATAAGTCCCCCTCACCCCTTCAGTAGAGATACACATACACGGACGGACGGACGGACGAGACTGGCAGAGACCTATAAATGACAGACTCCACGCTGTGGCCTCCCGAGTCTGTTTCCTCCTGCCCCCCCCAGGGGGTGAGGTGGGCGGGGGTGCGGTGAGGAGGGGCCCAGGGCACATGGGTCTTGGAAGGGGGCTGGAGGTCTGGGCCACGATGGCCTCCTTGGGGGTGGGGGTGGGGGGGAAGGTAGATGTCCAGAGCGTAGCCGTTCGCGCCTGACTCCACAGGAGCTGTGTGTGCTCAGAACCTTGATTCGAGGACCTGGAAGGGGGCAGTGGGATAGACCCACAGGAATGCTCTTCCCAGGACCTCCCCACAAGGGGGCCAGATGGAGCAGGGATGGGCATGCTGGACGCCTCTTCCTGGCCGAGCGTCCCTGCTCGACACGCGTTCTGAAGGCACTGGGCTGGTTTGGGGGCGGGGGAAGGGTGGGGAGGCGACAGGACGGAGCTCCGTGCCCCCAGGCGTCCACCCACTACTCACCATCCCCAGCAGCGTCCAGGGAGCCCCTCTCCCCCTGCCCCCCGACTCCACCACGGCCAGAGGTGAGGACGTGGGGTTGAGCAGATTCTGGCTGGGACAGGGGCAGCGCAGCTCTTGAGGCCGCTGCCCAGGCACCTACCTTGTCAGACTATGTCTCTAACCGGGGCACACCAGCCTGACATTGCCTCGGGGTCTCTAATAGAGCCTACCCACCAGGTCAGGTGGGAACAGGGGCTCAGGGCTGTCCCCCCATCTTTGTCCAGTGTGGCGGGTCTGGGAGCAGGGCCTCCTGAGGGCCACACTCAGGCTGCACATGTGAACTGCCCAGCCCAAGGCAAGGAAAACCGAGGGGAGCTGAGAGTTCCTCCTGGGTCCCAGGAAGGGGCAGAGAGCTGGTGTTCAAGCTTCTGCAGGGATGCATGTGCTCACGAGGGAGACCTGGGTCAAGGTTTGGGCCAGGCCACCTGCCTCACCCAAGAGACACAGAGCCCCCACCCCAAGGTCCGTGGACTCAGCCGCTGTGAGCTCCACAGCCCAAGCATGGCACCAGACACACAGCTCTGCCGGCCCAGCTGCTGGTTCTGATTCTTGACCCTCTTATACACACCAGACTCCAGCCATTGCTCCAAGCCAAGGTTCCCTGTGGAGAAGTCCGTGGGCACCCTGTTCCAGGACCCCAGCACGGGGACCACGGAGCTCTGAGCTGCACCCCAACCTGACACATGCACACACAAGGCTAACAAGGGCAGCTGGGCCTTGCTGGGCCGTGGAGGTTGCCACCTGTGATGCACAGACAGTGCTAGGGGAAGGAGTCGTGCCCCGCCCCGCCCCTGCCAGGACACAGCACCCCCGAAGGTACAGGCACCGGAAGGCCAGTGGGAGTCAGATCCCCCTCCGGAGAGCACCACCAGCCCCCAACAACCGCAGCAGGCTGAGGGCAGCCACTCCGGACAGCACTTTATTGATCCCCTCAGACCCTTGGGCAGGATCGGCACAGGTTCCCGGGACACTGGCCTGCGCCTGGTCTGCCGTCCCTGAGCAGGGCAGGAAGGAGCCCCATGGGGGCGGAGAGGCCTTCCGGGGCTGGGAGGAGACAACAGACAGCCAAGCCCCCTCCCTGGCGCACAGGCGGGGCGGGCTCGTGGGCAGTGAGGTGACAGGAGGTGGCAGAGAGGCCCAGCCTTGGAGCAGCTCAGGCCCCTGCCACGGGGGCCTCATAGTTGAGCACGTAGTAGTCGTGGACATACATGAGCACGGCCACTGGCTGCCCGATGATGAGTGTCAGCCACACGGCTGCGTTGCCGTAGTTCCCCTGGAAGAAGCGGCTCACTATCCAGGCCAGCGGGATCTGGAGACACGGGGCCACGGTCAGCAGGCCACAATGCGTGACCCGCAGGCTGGCTGCGCCCAGGGCCTGGGGGAGAGGCTGGGCGGGGGGGGGGGGGGCACGCTCACCTGAGCCATCATGCCTGTGAAGGCCCAGAGGCGGAACATGTGCAGAGGGATGCTCACCAGGTACTGCAACGGGAGTGATGGGGCATCAGCCATCTTGGCGGGCCATACCCGCCCTAGAGACAAGGCAGGTCGTGCCCACAGAGCACTCACCTCGTGGAAGAAAGCCGAGGCGAAGAACACCCCCGTACTGGCCACCCACTTGCTGCTGCCCCGTCGAAGCATGGGCTTGTAGAAGTGTCTGCGGAGGGAGGGGGCTGTGGGACGGGTGCCCGGGTCCACACAGGAAGCTGCCCACCCACTGTGCCACGCCCACGCCCACCTGAGGCACCACTTGTGCACAGGGATATTCCAGTTCTGCCAGAAGTAGGTGACAGACTCAGAGTTCCTGGGGGTCAAGAGCAGCAAGTGACCGGCCTGCGCCAGGATGCAGCCCAGCCCCCAGCTCCACACCAAGGCCACCCACCACCAGTCCCGGTAGAACTCCCGGTCTCCAAACTGCATGAGCTCTGCCACGGCGTTCATGCAGGAGTGGAAGAACCAGTAGAAGAAGATGAGCCAGATGAGGTGATTGGGGACCTGTGGGGACGGGCAGGTACCAGGTTGCAGGACACCCCACCCACTGGCCCACGCCCCACGCCACCCACCCAATGCTGCTCACCGCCAGCTTCAGGAGGCGCTCGATGATGCGTGAGTAATCCATATCCTGCAGGGACAGAGCTCAGCTGGCTCCCTGAGCTGCATCCCACCCGCCATCCACCCGGATACGGGAGAACCTGACCACTCACCTTGAAAGGCTTCATGGAGTTCTGGATGGTGGGAACCATCCACTGCAGAGGAGGGCACAGTGTCAGCTCCCGGGGCCGCACGGCGCGCCCCGCCCCCAGCCCCGCCCCCAGCCCCGGCCGGGCCAGCGTACCTGCTGGATTAGGCCCACCTGGAGCTGAGTCAAAAACAGCTGGAGGAGGAAGCAGAGAGCAGCAGGCTGAGCTCCCCCTGCCAGGACCTGGCAGCACCCCCAACCCCTGCCCCGTCCCCACGGCCAGCCTCCATCCTCACCATCTCAAGGAGCCGCCGCAGCAGGAAGCGCTTTCGGATTCGGGGAGAGCGGGGAAAGTTGAGCTCATAGCACAGAGTTGGGGCCAAGAGAAAGTAGTACAGATCTGGAACGGAAGGGTGGGGCTTGCACTGGCGAGGCCTGGCCCATGCTGTCCCTCCCCTGCTGTGTCCTTCAGCCAAGTCCCGGGGAGGGTCCTCACCACGGTAGGTCAGGTTGTCGGGGTAGCTCACAGCGTGCTGGGCAGCTCCCCCGTTGGCCTTCTTTCCTGCAGAAGCTACAAGCAAGGAGGAGGGTGGGTGAGGCCTTGCTGCGGCCCAGGTCTGGCCCAGGACCGGGTGGCACGAGCTCTGAGGCCCCAGCCCCAGGCAGCCGCTCACCGGCCTTGGCCTTGGTCTTGGCCCTTCGCTCTCGGCACCACAGGTTGACATCCCGGTAGGAGACGAGCTTGAGGAAGAGGATGGTGTGCACCGTCAGAGCCAGCACGGAGCCCACTGCAGGAGAGGCAGGCTCAGACCACAGCCCTCCCACACCGCCCCCAGGAGAGCCACAGCCGCAGGCACAGCCCCTGCGGGGGGTGGGCCTGGGTCTCCCCTGCGGGCCCCGGAGACAGGCTGGGACAGGGGTGGGATGAAGGAAGGGGCACACCTGGAGTGATGGACTCAAGCAGCAAGGCCACGGCCGCCGGGAAGCAGAGAATGGTGGCCAGGTTGACCACGTGCAGCAGCAGCCCTGCCTGCTCCGTCAGGGCACCCTGGGGTGGGTGGGGGGAGCAGAGTGCTCAGCCAGTGCCCCCACTCCCTAGGCAAAGGGTCTCCCTGGGGAAGGGCCGCCAGGCCTGGGGCACAGCCCCTCCCAGGAGAGCTACACACAGCCCAACACACAGGCCCGGTGAGGAGAGCACACCTCTGGACAGGGCTGGGGGCGTGAGGGCGCTGCTTACCGCCGCAAGGCGCTTCTCCACCTGGAACGCAGCCACGGCAAAGACATTGGCCACTGAGGATATAAGTGTCATAGCGCAGGGTCAGGCCCCGGTCAAGCCCTGTCCCGTCTCCACCCGAGGCCTTCCTTGGCTCCCAGCTCACCAATAACTAGACACAGGGCAGGCCAGCTGTAGGGGTCCTTCAGGAACAGAGACACCACCTGGATGGGGTCCACCAGGATGCCGTACCTGGGGATTGGGGGATGAGGGCCTGAGCAGGTGGGGTGGGGCCTCAGGGGCGGGGCCAAGGCCCTGGGGAAGACACTCACTTGATGAGGTTTTCTAAAAATAACCGTGCATTGCTCAAGATCTGCAAGAGAGAGGAAGGGCACAGCCCATTAGCCCCGGCCACAGGGTGCCCCGCCTCCCCGCCCCCCTCCGCCCAGCTCCTCTCAGCACCTATAGGGGCAAGAGCCCTGGGTCTGGACAGAAACCCGCATCCTGCAAGCCCAGTCCTGTCTGACCCGCACACCAAGCTCCAAGACTTACAACCCACCTCACCCCACACTAGTGCAGGACAGGAAGTCCTTCAGCGATGCCCCCATCACCCCAACGAGAGGGAATCAACCCCAACACCAGATATACCAGTATCTGCAGCAGCTGGTGAGGGCCCCCAGGCCCAAGGATGTCCTTGCAGTGCCCGGGGGCAGCCACACCCAGGGGGGTGGGGAGAAGAAGCTGACCAGAGTCCTCAGGGGCTAGGCAGCTGAACCCCGAGTGCCACTTGGGACTCACACCCCTGCCCCTCTTCCGCAATCCTATAGCACTCCAAGCCCAGGCACATGGCCCCAAAGCAGCTCCCAAGAACAGAACCCCACCAAGATGGGCTCCTGGCTCTGTCCTGGGGCTGGGGAATGGATTCCCTCTGCAGGTATGAGGGTCTCCTAATCCATCCCATAACGCACAGACCCTGCCGAGTGCACCGAACTCAGGCCCTGACCAGGACTCATGGTAGATTCTGTGGAAAAGTGATGCTGGCCAGGGGACTGGTTGGGATCCCTTACCTCAATGGTCAGGGATCCCTTACCTCCTTCACAAGGAGGTGACAGGCTGAGAGACAGAGGGGCCCTGCCCTCCCCCAGCCACCAGCCTGACCTGCCCGGCACAGATGTGCCGTCACCACGCCTGGTGGCCTGTCCTGAAAGCCCACAGCAAGCAGGTAGGAGCTGCGGCTGCTAGTGGGCAATGCCCACCTCAAGGCCCAGGCCATAGAGGGAACACAGCAAGCAGCCCCAAACATGGGGTGCACCTCTCCTTCAGCAAAGGGGTGGTAGAGGCACCAGAAGCAGGAGAGAGGTTTTGGGGCTGTACCAAAGGGCCAGGTGGGCCCAAAAGGTTGCAGGGAACAAGCAGTGCTACCCGAGCTGCCAAGGGCCCACCTCCGATGACTGCCACTACAAACCTACCCCAGGCCAGGAATGGCCTCCAGAGGCCAAGGACACACCTCCTGAGGGTCAGGCAGGTGTCTGGCCCACTGTCCCCTTGCCCAGCCAGCTTCCCACCCATCAGACTGCATGGCCCCTTGGCGGAGAGCCTCCTGGGCCCATGGGCAGGGAGGACATGGGTAACCAGAGGAACCACACCCGAAAGAGAGGTGGTGATGTCAGGGCAAGGGTCAAAGGCCTCTGGCCACATCAGCCTGAGTGGTGGGGGCTGGGCCCAGACAGGCCCTTGCCCCCTGCCCCACCCTGCAGGCTGCCCCTTTGAGCCCTGGACTCCAGCTGCTTCTGGGCCAGGACTGCTGGCCCCACCCCCACAAGGAGCCAGCAGGAACCAGGCCACAAAGTGAGGCGGAGGTTAAGGGCTCTGTCTAATCCCTCCCTGGGGGGCACCTAGGACCAAGGCTGAGGGAGAGGCTGGGTACCTTCAGAGTCAGGGCCTGGAGCTGCCAGGCTGAGCCCAAGAGCCATCCGCTTACCCCTCTCCCCCCAGGCCAGGCCTGCCAGGGGCTCCATACCCCCAAGGGCCATTCAGAACAGCAGAAGGAGCTCTTTTGACCCCCAAGACCACTCACACCTGCTGCCTCTGGGATTCAACAGGGATAAGAGCTGAATGTGTGGCCAGTGCAGAGACCACCAGCACCACCTGCTTCTGAGAATGTGTCTCCCCCCCCACCAGCCCAGGGCCCCTACTCACCAGCATCACCACACACCAATTCAGGATCCCACGATAGTTGCTAAAGCCACTGTCAGAGCTGAACAAAGAATCTTGTAGGCGGTGGCACCTGGTGGGCGGGAGACACACTCTCAGAAGCAGGCAGCAGCTGAGGCCCCCCTACCAGGCCAGCCCTGCTCCAGTCCCCCGGGCTGTGAGAACCCTGCACTCCTCCAAGCCCAGGGGCAGGTCGGGGGCCTGCAGACACCCAAGAGCCCAGCCAAGTCCAGCCCCTCAGGAGCCAGCCTTGGGGCCCAGGGCCCAGGGCAGAGCAGACCCCAGCCCCTCCCTCAGAGCAACTCTGGTACATCCTAGCCCAGCAGGATGGTCCACGCCCCCCAGCCCTCTCTTCTGCCCACAAACCCTCCTCCCCACTCACGATCACAGAAGGGCCAGGCAGGGCCAAGCCTCTCAGGACCACCCAGAAAGCCTGCCCTTCCAGGCAGCTGGCAGGGTCATGCCACAAACAGGAGCAGAACAGCTGGCCCTGCCTACCCCAGGGCTACATGGAGCTGGAGCTCGAGCACCCCAGGCCAAGAGCCCATCCTCTCTCCCCAGAGGCCTCTGGCTGCCACCATGCTCAATGGCTACAGAGTGGTGATGGGCCCATAGGAAGAGTTCACTCCAGGGATCTCAAGACCCACCAGGCAATTCTGTACAGAGGTGGGGGCAGGGGCTAAACCTGCCTTGCTGGGTCAGCCCATCCTACTGCCCAGCACACTGAGGGGCCCCCACCTCAAACAACCTCCTCCCTAGATTTGGCCCGTGCAGGTTTGAGTGTGCACAGGGCCCCAGGCCAAGAGCCAGCTGAGCACCTGGACTCACACGCACCTTCCTGGGGACAGGGGCCCTCATACATCTGCATAGCCTCCAACTGTTTCTGAAAAAGGATAACCTGCCCCAGTTCAACCACAGGGTCAGTATTGTATTCCTGTCCAGGCTGAGGGGGCCAAGAAGAGCCCACCCAGGGGCCAGGGGCCTGATGGCAGAGAGGTCTCCTGCAGAAGCAGGAGAGTTCCCACTACTAATGGGGTAGGGGAAACATAAGCAGAACCTCACATCCCCGCCTGGTCCTCAGGGTGACACAGAGATAGTGAAAGGGCCACAGTGTGGCTGGGGCAAGGCCCAAACCCAGCTCCTGGCTCACTCAGCCTGCCCCACCCTACCCCAGATGCCATGCCACCAGGAAGCCCCGCAGAGCATTGAGCAAGGCCTCCCGTTTTGTAAGACATGAGGCCAGGGCCTCCCCTTCCCTCCTGTGGACACATCTCCACCTCTTGAGGACCCCAGGCAGGAGAAGTGGGCTCAGAGGAGTACGCAGCAGGGGCACAGATGTCCTCTCAGGGCTGATCCTGCCTCCGTGGCAAGTCTTCCTATGGTTGGGGTCAACACCAGGAAGTGAGGGGCTGGGCAGGCTGAGATGCTACTCAGCAGTCTGTAGCCCAGGCAGAGGCAAGGTCTGCACTGCACCCGGCCCACCAGCGTCTCCCGGTCACAGGCCTCCCTGTATCCACCTTCCCGGTCCGTCCTGGGCCTTGCAGTGAGACCACCCGAGGCCCTCTTCTCCCTGGGACCCTATACCTGCCTTTCCGCGAGGCAAGCAGGGGTCCAAGGCCCCACTCCCCGGAGAGGACGGTCTCTGCGCCTGTCCACTAGACAGGGCCTCCCCAGCCCTTCTGCCAAGTTTGAGCCCATTCACTTGCACTGGAACTATCCCAGGGCCACCCTGTGCCACAACCTGCCACCCCCATCTGCACATTAACATCGATCCAGCAAACATTTCACAACAATGTGACCCCTTGTCACCAAGAAGACCACGCTGGTTTTATTTTCATCAATGTCTAAGATGAAAACAGGTGGGGAATGGGTACTGTTTTCCAAATCTGACACCAAACAACATCATAAAAACTTTTTCAGATTCTTGCTGTCAGGCTCTTAAGGCCTTCCCCAACCTGCCCACAGCCACTCCCTGGGTCCCTCCACAGGGCTCCTGACCATCCCCGACCCCAGGCAGCAGAGACTCAGGGAAGAAAGCCCACCGTCCACCAAAACCCACAAGGTCCAGCCTTGCCAGTATAGTCAGCAGTGGACCAGAGGGCAGACAGGCAGGATCTGGCCACAATACCCAGAGCTATCTATGTTACCCTCTCCCCCACTACCAGGGCCCCCCACACCTCTAGCGGTCCCACACGTGCTCCCCAGGTCCACCCAACCAGCAGGGTCACTGTAACTCATCACATGTGTCACCTTACTCAACCCTCACATCAGTTTTGGGAGGTAGGTGCAAGGGGAAACTAAGGCTTGCCAAAGTTTAAAGCTTGCCCAGGGGCACAGCTCCCAAGTGTGGATCACACCTGGGGACCACGGTCCAGCTCCAGGGCCAAACAGAGCAAAGATGAGACAGAGTGGCAGCTGTCCTCCCAGCTGCCACCTCCTCAGCTCTTCCTTCACCCAGCCTCTGGGTTGACCCCTGGGATACAAGGTGGTGGGGTGGGCTCTCCCATTCTCAGGCCCTGCTGAAGAGAAGCAGCAGCACATTCCAGGAACAAACACCCTAGGGGAGCCCTGCAACCAGAAGGCCCTGCCTGGAGTGCCCATGAACCCAGGGCCAGATGTCCTAGGCACGGGGCACTGTGTACGGTGCCCCCTCCTTCCTGCCCCACAGCCACACCTTGCCATGGGCTGGAAGAAATGAGTTCACACCCGGAGCCTGACCCACCTGCCTAGGCCAAGGCAAGCAGGAAGTATAGGGAGGGGAGGAGGCCTGGAGCCCAGGGAGTAAGGAGGGGCGGGGAAAGGAGAGGCACCAAGCACGGGGCGCCTGGGCGCCTCAGTCGTTAAGCGTCTGCCTTCGGCTCAGGTCATGGTCCCAGCGGCCTGGGACCGAGCCTCGCATCGGGCTCCCTGCTCGGCGGGGGTGGGGGGGCGGGCTGCTTCTCCCTCTCCCTCTGCCGCGCCTGCTCTCTCATTCTGCGAAGTAAATAAATTAAAAAGTAAAGACAACAAGCAGCAGGGAAGGGAGACAGGTGGGAGGGTGTGGACACGGAGAAGTGCAGGGGCCAGATCCCGGAGCGAGGCCCTCCGACCTTGGGGTGTGAGGAAAAAGCACAGAGCCTGCCCGAGCTGGAGACTAGGAGGGAGCCGTAACTGCCAGGTCCCCCTCCAGCCCCGGGGCAGGCCCGTCCACGGCAGCTCCTGCTCCTCTTTCCAGGGGGCCCAGACTTTGAGGCTGGGCAGACAGGGCTGCCATTCACTCGGCCCAACTCTCAGGAGCACAGACGAGGCTTCTGGACACCAGGCCCTGGCCCAGCAGGGAGGTGACTGCCTATCCCAGAGTGGCAAAAAAAGTGGCCCAAAGCCAGCACACCCGTCTTACACAAAAGGACGCCAACTCCGGCCGCCTTTGCAGGAGATCGTGCTAGCCATGCCCCTGCCTCCTGGATGGCGGGTAGCAGAGGGGCTCTCAGGCCCTCCTTCCTGTGTAGCCTCCCTCAGCACTGCCCCAGGCCCTCAGGAAAACCACCCTCCTCTGCCACAGCGCCTTCACCAACTCCTGACCTTTGCTCGGCCTGCTCAGTGCTGAGATTATCTTATCTCCAGGTGGACTGTGAGCACCCCAGGGCAAGGACCCCAGCTACCCTCACCCACCCTCTCACCAGTGAAGAAAGCTCTGTTCCTGTCTACTGAGAGCAAATCCCTGCCAGCAGCCCGACCAATTGCCTCTTCCTCCTTGATAACCTCTAGCCCCAAAGGCACTTCCGAAACCAATGTCCCGAGGCCACCTGGGTGAGAATGAAGGCCGGAAGCGGGAGGAGGAGGCTGGATGTGGCGAAGGGGCCGCTTGGAGCTGGCCTGGGGGGAGCCAGGGCCCTGGCCTTCCAGGTCCTCCCCATCAGCCAGACTTGCTCCCAGCTCCTTCCGGCAGCCCTTCAGCTTCGCCCGACCCCCAAGCAGGGGGTGAGAGCCCCAGTGCAGGACCCAACTCTGTCCTTGCAAGAAGACACTTGTTCTGGTCACAGAGGCAGGGCCCCAGGCCAGCCAAGCCCCGGGTGCGGGAGGGACCCCCAGGAAAACAGCTCCGCGGGTTGTCCGCAGGGACAGGAGAGACCTCACGCCGCCCCGCCCGCGGCCCGGCAGCCCCCGTCTCCTGCGGGTGCCTCCCCGGCAGGGCCGCCCTCCGGCCGACTTCCCAAGCGCCAAGGCACCCTCAGGAGAGACCTCCTTAGTCACAAACCACCTGACCCCACCTAGCTCCTTGCAGACCGAGAACACCTGTGCACAGGGGCCAGGGTACCGGGCTACCCTGAGGAAGAGCCTGACGACCCCCGGGGGCTCTGCAAGCCGGACTGCCGCCGGCCCCGTGCGCCCCCACGTGGGTGACCTTGGCGAGTGACGCTCCACTCCGACGCCTCAGCTCCCCCGCAGGGGCCCCAGGGGCACACCTGTCCACGCGAAGCCCGGGAGCCTGGCTCTCAGACGCGGGGCCCGCGTTGCGGCGGTCATGCCCGGGGAACCGGGGAAGGTCCCAGGCAGGGGTCAGAGGTTACGGGCGAGGCGTCTCGCTACCTCAGATCCCAGGGGCCGCTGCCCACGTCGGAGTCTCTGTTCTCGTCCTTGGGGGCCGGGGCCGGCGCCGGCGCGTCCCCCCCGGGGCCCACGTCCCGCACCTCCTCTTCCGCGGGCCCGCCGCCGCCCTGGCTCGAGGGCCGTGAAGCCGTCCTCCGGCGCCGGGAGCCGCCCGCGCCGCCGCGGTCGCCCATGGCCTCAGCCCTCACCCTGTCCCGGCAGAGTCGTGGCCCGCCGGGCTCGCAGCACCCGAGGCCCGCGGCCCCGCCTCCAGACCCTCTGCCAACCGCCGCCACCGCCCCCTGCCGGACGCCGTAGCCCGCGCGCTGGCCCGGGCCGCCAATCAGCGCGCGCCGTCCAGGGAGTCCGGGGACTGCGGGCGCGTTGCTTCGGGAGCCCCTAACTGGCCAGCCGCCGGGGCGCGCGCCCATTTGTAGTCCGCGGGCGCGCGAGGCACCCTGGGAGTCGTGGTCGCCCCGCGCGGGGCACCCTGGGAGCCGCGGTCGCCCCACGCGCAGCACGCTGGGAGTCGTGGTCGCCCCGCGCGGGGCACCCTGGGAGCCGCGGTCGTCCGGCACGCCCGAGAGCGGGGCTGCGGCCGTCTGGCCCATGACGGACCTTCCTCTCCGCGGGCCTCAGCGCCTCTGCGGAACTTGCCAGGCTTCCTGGCAGCCGGCGAGCCTCCCCCGACCGCTTCCCTGCTTCTCACACCGCTCTGTAAACACAGGGTTTCGCCATTGCTCAGCCAGGCGCGGAGGAGGGGGTGTGGATTATTTACGAAGTGCCTCTTGCGTTAGCGTCCGGCCCAGGAGCCGTGTCCGTGGGGACTCGCCTCGCCCAGCACCCAGCGTGTTGGCTCCCGAGCGCACGTCGGGGCGCACTTGAGCTCCGCGACGCTCTAGTTACCACCGCAGAAGCGCCTGCTTTTCCACGGCTTAGGTTGTTCAAACAAGCGCCAGACCAAAGGATGGAGCAGGAGAAAGGCCTCAGGCCCCGCGTCCCTGGGACACCCGCCCTGCCCACTGACTCCCGGTCGAAGCGCCCTGCGGGGATAGGGAAGGCGTAGCCCCTAACTCCCATCCCCGAGTGGCCACGCCCTGGCCACCCGCGCCCCCTTCCGCCCACGTCCGCAAGACTTGCTGGGCCTCCCTCGTTTCCACCCGGGCTAGATTTGCCAGGGTGTGGGGAGCCTGGGGTGCCGGGTCGCGGGGACCCAGAGGCTTCCGTATCATTGCACGACCACACGGAGCAGCCCGCAAGCGCGCTAGTGCGCCTCCCACCTTAGTTTGACACTCATCTTTGCATGGGGCATGGAGTGTGAACATCCAGGATTTCCAGGTGCGAGGGTTCACTGGGGGCTCAGGACGAGTTTACCCAGCAGCAAAACCCATTAGCCATTCACTCCTGAGGTGATCAAGGCCAAGAAGAGTACCTCTCCAGCAGCAAATAAACCGAGAGTTTCAGCCTAAGGTTAGCGACCTGCCCGTGTGGACTGGCCACCACCTTCCCGCTGGGCTCACCCTTGTTCCACCGCCTTCACCAGAGTGCCTGGGCCCCCTGGTGACACATTCCTGTTGCCACTAGGTCAGCGGGGACTGATAACCAGCCTGGCATCCCTACCTGGCAGGCTGGGGCTACCTGGCAGGTGTCTTTGAGTAACCTGCCAAAGCGGCTGCCCTGACTGGGCCGGAGAGCCCCTCCCGCATGCCGCCTACACAGCCCGACCTCCGTGAGTCAGGCTCAACCTCGTCTCCTATCCAGTCTTTCAGAACTTGCGCCTCTTCACTGGCTGGCCTGGGCCAGGCAGAGCGAGGCCTTTTTGAATACTGATCCCAAGGGAGGGTGAGCAAAGGAGAGGGTCCTCTCGGGAGCCTGGAGCGTAGGAATGAGCCCTGGGAGCTCTGCCACGCTCGCCCACGCGTGCCTTCTGGCTGTGCCATCCTTCCAATGCAGGCACGTGCCTTCTGGCTGTGCCATCCTTCCAATACAGAGCCAAGAACTACAGGGCCCACCCAGGCTGTCAGAGAAGATTGATGACTCAGGCTCCCAGTAGGCCGGGAGAGGCTGAGTCAGTAGTCAATAAAGGGTGAAGAATCATTTTGGAAGCGGCTGCCTGCGTCCACGTCCGGCTCCAAGCCATTGGCTGGCAAGTGGCAGCAGGCGTGAAGCGACCAGAGTGGACGAGGGATCACCGGAGAGGACCAGTCCAGCGCCCCGGAGCGCAGCGCGAGGAGAACAGGACAGCCAGTTCATAGGCAGGCCCGGGCTGTGAGAGCACCAATAAGGAAGAGCCTCAGTACCGGCGGGGGCGGGGCCTGGCGGGAGGGAGGCCTGTGGGAGAGAGTGGGCGGGCCGGGGCCTCGGGATTGGGAGAGGGGCCGCGCAGGAGCTTAGGAACGCGCGGGGCGCGCCGGTTACCTCAGGGCCCAGGGGAAAATGAGGCCGAGGGCACCAGGGGAGAGGGGAAAGGTCAAGGTAGGTGGGGTTGCCTTTGGTGACAAAGGTGTACAAGAGGGGTTGTCGAAGAAAGCCCGGTGGGGGTTTCCCTGCCAGGGGCAGCAACTGATGAGTGGACTAGAGGCCCCGAGCCTCGCAGGCCCGGCTGGAAGAGGTTCAGCGCCTAGAAGCTCAGCCTGTGGCTGACGTGCCACGGGAAGACCACTGGGGCCTGTGAAGGGTCTGGCCAACTAGGAGACATGGGACAGGGCGGTCAGCAGTCTGTGCAGCCCCTTCTCTGGGATGCAAGTCCTGTCCGTGGAGATCTGTGGAGGCTGAGCGTGGAACCCGTTCCAGGTCTCAGGGAGGCGGATTCCGTCCTTTCACCCCTTTGCCCCTCAGGGTCCTGGAGAAGCAGAGACAGCCAGTCTAGACCCAGAAGCTGGGAAGGAATGAGCATTCCTCACCCAGGTGTGACTGCAGGTGGAGGGTGGGTGGGGTATTGGGGAAGGGCTTGTGTCCAAGGCAGGCCTTGGATAAGCTGTTCTCCCTGAGGCTGATTCTTCATATGCAAATTGGGCTCTAAAGCCTACCCCAGCCTGGGGACAGTGAAAGTCAAGGAACCCTGGGCAGGAGGATCTGGACACTGACCTCTCCCAATAGCAGGTACTTTCACTCTGGGCAGGCCTGTCTCCTGCCGGGGTTCACACAGCTGGCTCTGGGATGACTTAGTTTGACTACATGTCTCCAAAGACTTTGGGCCTCTCAGCTCATGCCTGCCTACCTGGGTATCAGGAGGCATTGCTGGGGCAGGGGGTCCCTGTCCTTGGGCTGTCCCTAACTAGCACAGCCCCGCCCCTCATCTCGATTCATCCTGTCTACAGTTCAAGGGCTGTGGAAGCCTCTCTTGTCTCTGGGTGGCACCTCCCCAGAACCAGCATGGGTCAGCTGTCCTTGGAAGCCTCCTCAGACCGTGGGGGGTCAGGATGTGGGCAGCACACAGCAGTAAGGGGCTAGACCTTGCACCCTCTGCTGTCCCCCTTTCCTCCACTGGCATGAGGAGGGCTTGTTGGTGGCTGTCAGGCCCCAGAGGCAGCAGGAGCCCCTACAGGGAGAGTAAGCCATAGGTCTGCAGGCCCTGCCGTACCTACTCTGGTGACTCTAGATCACTTCTGGGCTGGGCCTCACTTCAGGCTGGAGACCCTTAGCTCCCTCAGTTCCTGGCACAGAGCAGATTAACCTGCCACAGGACAAATGCCAACTGCTTTGCCTTCAGGGGATTTCTCCCACGGCTTGGCCTGCCAAGCTGGCCCTTCTGGGAGGACGAAGATAGCCCTCTTGTGAAAAGGGACACTGGTGCACCCTACACAAAGGCAGTGACCAGACCCCAGGGCTGCCATTCCCAGCACTGCGCCTGCAGCAGTCTTGCCTCTGGGATGCAGCAGGACTGGGAAGACGACCCCCGGACATCCCAGCGCCCCCTGTGGCATGGGCCCAGCACTGGATACATCAACCCGACACTCCAAGTTCTATCAAGAGTGGCATTTATTCTCCTTGTGGAGGTGCGGCGCTCCAGGGAGCTGGTGCTATTGTGCTTAGGAAGGAGGTCTGTCCGTCCGTCCGTCTGTCCGGCCGGCCCAGCCCCAAACGGGGGCGGAAGAGGGGCGCGGCCCGAGTAAAAATCCCGGCCTGTTCCGGGTGGGAGTATGTACAAGGCGGCGGGGCGCAGGCGGGGGTGGGGGCGGGGCAGGCCGGCGGCCGCAACCCCCACCCGAGGGCCCCCGCATCTCGGGCCCTACTCGTAGAATCAGTACAAAATAGGTGCTACCTAAACGTTCCTTCTACCTGAATTCGCTAAGTCGGTTATTGTGCTGCTTAGTTATGGGGGCAGGAGGGGGCCCATGGCTTTCCACGGCGGCGGGGTGTAGGGAGAAGCGGGAGACCCTGGCCGGCCCATGGCCCTCTGGCCTTCTCCTTAGGTAGGTAGACAGGCATATGGGGGTAGGGTGGGGCGCCTGTGTGTGCGTGTGCATGCGGGTGTCCCCAGCACAGGAGGGCAGGCCCCAGCTTGGAGCTGTGTGGACTCCGAGTTGTGGTACAGAGGGCTTGGGATATGGGCCCTGCTGTGCTGAGCCCTCAGTCCGCTCCTGCAGGTGCAGCTAGGTAGCAGCTTGGTGCCCACTGGGATGGGGCTGACCAGGTCATACACTCCAGCGTGCACCTTTTGTCTGGCCTGGGGCCCTGGCCCCACACAGCAAAGCCCAGGTGGCCAGAAGATGGAAGGACTGAGAGTCGGTATGGGTGGCCCTGGTCGTGCTGGGCCCTTCGGGCCCTGGGTCTGTGCCACCTGAGCTGAGAACACCAGGCGCAAGTCAATGGGGAGAGCCCAATTGCACCCAGCACTGGACCTGGGCTGGGGCGGGAAGAGGTAAGGGGGATGCAGGGTTGGGTCTAGGGACCAGGCCTTTCTCTGCATATATGCAGCTCTCCTTGGCCCACCCAAACCTGATGGACCCCTGTTGCGAACATGCACCCCCTGCAGGTCGCTGCATCCCTGGCCGACTCTGCAGCGGGCCTGGCACGTAAGTGCCCAATGAACAGTCGGTGGGTGATGGATGACTGAAGGAGGGGTCTTGGGGGCAACCACCCCGCCCCCGCCCTTGGAACCATTACACCCGCAGGGCTCTGCCGTGGGGGGGGTAGGGAGGAGGAGGGGAAGAAAGTCTGCGCGTCCGGCCCCGCGCAATGTCCCTGATCTAGGGGCCTATGGGGTGGATAGGGCAGGGGGATACCTGATTCTCAGTAACTCTAGAGGCGGCGGCAGCTTCGCATGCAGTGCGCATTATTGCTCTATAGTCGGCATCGGACTAACTAGAGGGAGAGGGAGCGGGCAGCCCCGGGAGGGGACGGGAGGAGGGTTGGGGCTGCATGCAGTGACGTCACAAAGGCGGCGGCCAATGGGGCGGGCCCTTGGGGCGGGGTCGCCGCCGAGGCTTTGGCATAGACGGGCGAAAGTTGGCAACAGAGTGGGGGCGGGGCCTGGGGCTCGAGGGTGGGGCCCAGGTAGGGGCGGGGTTCAGGGGCGGGGAAAATGATCCCGGACATCCCAAGCCCCCGGCGTCGGCGGGAAGGATGGGGGCCTCAGCGCCCCTTCCCTGACCCGAGTGCAATCCGTTCATAAATAAAACGTACAAATACAGAAAGAAAGAAACCCGACGCATCCGCAACCCCCCCAGGGGGCTTTACCCGCAAAGCGAATACAGAGAGGTGTGTAATGGGCCGTGCCCAGGCCTGCCTGCCGGGCCCCAGGATCCGTCCTCCAACACCGAATGCCCGGGGACGAGGGAGGGAGCCCCGGGGCAGGGCGGGAGTGGGGTCGGAGGAGGTCGGATAAGTCCATGCGATTCGATATGCGTCATTATTATTCGTTATGAAGGACAGAGCCCGGGAAGCTGGGCTGGAAGAATTCGGATTTGGCAGAGGATGCGAGGCGAGGGTGGGAGAGCGGCTTGGACTGAGGCCCCAGAAAGAACCCGAGGGAGAGGGGTGCCGCCGTCCGCCTCTCTCCCCGATCCCCAACGCGTCTATCACTCCTGGGGGTCAGCGAAGACTGAGGAGTAGGGACGCCTCTGCAGGCCCCTCCCTCCTGCTCCTCCCCCTGTCTGCTCCCTGGACGTCTAGGCCGCAGGCCTGGCCCTTGGAAGGCTTGGGAAAGGGGTGGGGAAGACCTGAGTCTCTGCGACGCGATCCAGGGGCGCAGAGGAGGGAGGAGGGGGGTGCTCCCCACCTCACCCCACCCCCGTCTTCAGAGACCTAACTCGGAGATGAGGTTCGGTTCTGGGTCTCCTCGACCCTATTGCTGGGAAAAAGCCTGGGGCACCCTGGAGGGGAAGGGAGGGGGTTCGGGGTGGGTCTCCCCTCAGGACCCTATTGCTTGAAGGGGCCGACAAGGCCCCTGGCGGGCGGGGCGGGGCCGGGCCCCCTCCCTCTATTGCTGTGAGGTGGGGCCCGCCCTCCGGCCCCTCCGCCCGGGCGCTGGCGGAGACTTCCCTGGGGGCCCGTATTGCTGAGAGCCGACCCGGCTGGGCTGGCGGACGTACCGCCGCCCTAGGCCTGCACAGGACTGAGCCGCGGCGAAGCGGCGGGCGCCTGGGCCGCGGGGCCCCCGCCGCCAGCGCCGCCCTTGAAGCATGCAGACTCGTAGTGCTTGTTGAGATAGGACTTGAGCGCGAAGCTCTTCTTGCAGCGCTTGCACTGGAAGTGCTTGAAGGCCGAGTGCGTCTGCATATGCGCGCGCAGGTTGGAGCGGTCGGCGAAGGCCTTGCCGCAATGCGCGCAGCCGAAGGGCTTCTCGCCTGTATGGGAGCGCATGTGGCCTTGCAGCAGCCAGGGCCTCGAGAAGGCCTTGCCGCACACGCCGCATTTGTGGCGCAGGTCGTGCGTGAGCAGGTGCATGGCCATGGCCGGCATGGACACGTACACCTTGCCGCACGTCGGGCAGCGCCGCGCCAGCTGACTGTCCAGGCTGCGGTGCGTCTGCTTGTGGCGGCTCAGGTTCGACGACGTGGCGTACGTTTTCCCGCACTCGCCGCAAGCGTGCCGGCCCCCTGCGCCGCCAGCCCCGGGCCCCGCGCGCGCCTCCGTGCTCACCCCCCCGCGCGCGCCGCCCCGGCCCCCGGCCCCAGACCCCGCGCCGCGCGCACCCGCCCCGGCCCCGCCTCCGCCGTCGCAGTCGGGAGCTGCGGCAGAGGCCGTGGAGGGAGCGGCGGCGTTGGCGGCCTTACGGCGCGAGCGCCCGTCGGTGATGAAGAAGGCGTCAGCCGCGTAGCCCTCGCTGACGGCCGCGTCGCCGTTGATGTAGCCGCCCGCGGCTGTGGCCAGCTCTGGGCGCGGGGTAGGAGGCGGTGCCGAGCCCGCGGCCGCCGGGCCCAGTTCTCCACGCACGGCCGCAGCGTACATGGGCTCTGGGGACGGCCCTTTGAGCAAGGCCGCCTCGGCATCGCCATCGTAGACGGAGGCGGGCCCCGCGTAGTCGTTGAGGTATCCTGAGGGCCGAGGTGGACAGGCAGACAGAGGGAGGGGGAACCGGGCAGCGGGCGAGACACACACGGGAAGGCGGCGGGAAACACGGGTCCGGGAAGGAGGGAACAAGAAAAAGGACAAAGGAGAAGGGGCCGGAGGACCGCGGGGCAAGGAGGGTGGAGGAGGCAGGGAGGGGAAGAGAAGGGAGGGCAGATGAGCCTGGGCCGGGCCTCGGCTCCGCCCCCGCCGCCCGCCCCACCCTCGCAGGGGGAGGAAAGAGGCGCGTCCTCGGGCGCGGCTGCCCCCCTTCCGCGGAGCCTCAAGGTCAGGGGGGAGGGGCGGCGCTTCCCTCGCCCTTCTTCCTCCACCCCTCCTCCCCCTCGGGTTCTCCCCACTTCAGCAGTTTTCCCTGATTATGCAACACACTGCGGACCCGCAGCGCACAAAGCCGGGACCGCCCACCGAGGGACCCCGTCGCTTCTGCCTCTCGGGGTTCCCACCTGCTCTTCCCCTCGGCACCTAGAACTCGTGTCCAGCCTTGATGCTGCCCCTCCTTGGTCCCCTAGGCCCCCCAACAAGCCCTGAAGACTTCTCCCTCCGGCAGCCCCTCCTACCCTCTCTAGCACGTCCTTCTTCCCTCCTAGGTCTTCCACTACTCCCTGGACTTGACCCTCTTCCTGCTCCAGTCCTATCTTCCTCCATCCACTCTGCTTCTTCCCCGACTCCCTTCGTTCATCCTGTACCCTTGGGTCCTACCTTGTTCCACATAGTCCTCTTCCCCCAGGCCCTAACCCTTTGTAAGGGCCTTCCCAAGCCTCAGCACCGGCGACCAGGGAGTCGCTGCGTTGGAGAGTGCCAGGGCACCCACCAGGGGACACCTTCACTGGGACAAGCTGCAGGCAGGCAGCATCATTAATGCCGGTAACTGCAGTTGTTCTCAAGGTACAAGATGGATCTCACAACCGCAGAGTCACAAATGCACACACCACATGATGCGGCCTCTGGCTTGTTCAGGGTTACACCCAGCTTGCCAGCCACCATCAACCCTGGAGTGTCCTCCCAGGGTGGGCTGCTCGCTGATCCCCGCATACCACCTACTCATGCAGGGTCACACATGCAGCCACCCTGGACACACTCAGCCAGGGTCGCCAGTCACATGGGTGCACAGCGGCCTCAGAGTCACATGGTCCCATGTAGTGGCACACAGGCAGGCACACACTCATACAGGGTCACACACAAGCGCACACAGTCACATGGCCACACGCAGTCACATGGGCGCACACAGGCTCACACACAGGCTCGGCTCACACAGGCTCCGGTCACACTTGTTCCGACACCCCACGCTGCTGGCACTCCCAGCCCTCCTGCCTGCGTGCTAACAGTTGTCCTTGAACTTGGGCACCCTTACACAAAGAGCCTCCCCCTGATTCCAGCACTTGGGACCTCCCTACTTAGAGCCCTCCTGCCCTCATCCTCCTCCCTGACTCTGGTTGCAGGGGAAATACTGCTGCCCCTCTGCTGGTACCCTGGTCCTGACAGGTGGCGGCCCCCACTGGACCCATGCCTACTCCCTGGAACTCACAGCACTCTGCCGACCCTAGCCAAGAAAGAGAGGTTGATACTCGGGAAGGCCCAGGTTTCTGGGTGTGGGTCTGCATGCATGGCAGGTCCTGTCATATCAGCAAGTGTCCATACGCATAGCCAGGGTGTGGGTCCTTGTGTACCTTCAGGTACTTCCTGTTTCAGATCCTTGCTCCCCACCTTCTCTCCTGCATTGACACTCTCCCTGCCCAGCCTTGGCCCTGTTCTGGCCTGCCTCTGCGTTCCCCTCTCCCCACCTTCCTCCACAGTCCAGCTTCAGCCACCATCTCCTTCTGGTTCTGGTTCCCTCGGGTCTATTTCCTGAGGCCCCCGGCCCTTCCATCCCCATAGTCTGGTCCTCTACCCCTTCCAGCATTGTCCTGGGCCCCTTGCTGTCCCCAGCCTCAGCCCAGCTCGCACCTTTCTCATGCAGTCGCACTCCGAGGTCGCTGCGGGCGCGCCCGTAGGAGCTCTCGAGGTCCGCCGAGGAGAACGTGTCAAGTTTGACCTTCTTGACCAGGAAGGATCTGGGCATGATTCCTGCGGGGCTCCGGCGCTGCGGGCCTTCGGAGCCGGGGCGCGGGGGGGCTGCGGCCGCGGCGGGGCCCCGTCACCATCCGAGGAGCGGCGGAGGCAGCACGGGTCCCCACTCTGGCCTTTGGATGCTGCCGCTGGAGTACCTTCCTCCTGCCTGCCTGCCTGCCTGCCCTGCGTTTCTTCCTCTGCTCCTCTGGCTTCCTCTTTTCCTTCTCTTCTCTTCTCTTCTCTTCTCTTCTCTTCTCTTCTTTTCCTTCCTTCTTTTCTTCCTTCCTTCCTTCCTTCCTTCTTTCCTTCCCTCCTCTGGTCCCGGCTTCCCAGCCCGCAGTGCCGCCCCTGGACAGGCGGGGGAGGAGGCCGGGGGGTGGGGGGTGGGGAAGGGGGAGCGGCTCCGTCCCGGGCCCGGAGGCTGCGAGTGGGTGCAGGGCTGGCCCGGCTCCGCGGCCCCCTTCCCCTCCCCCCCACCGCCGCGGCGGAGCCTCAGTCAGCGACCCCCCATGCCCCTGAGGGTGGAGGCGCCGGGCCCGGAGAACGCGGCGGCGGCGGCGGCGGCGGGAGCGCCAGCAGCTTCAGCACCGCGGCCAGCGCCGGCCCGGCCAGCACCTCGGCCAGCGACCCGGCGCGCTCAGCCGGGGCGGGCGGCGAGGGGCGGGCCGCGGGTGCTCGGCCGCCAGGCGGGGGTCCTCGGCGGGGGTCTCTAGGAGGCTTGCTTTATTGTTCTGCAGCCGGAGCGAGCGGCGGTGGCGGCGGCGGCGAGCGGGGGGCGGGGGTCCTCGGGGGGAGGGGTGCGCAGGGAGGGCGGGCCGAGGGAAGGAGAGAGGGAGGGACGGGGGCTCCGGGGGCGGGGCTCAGCGCTCGGACAGCTCCTGGGCCCGGCCTCCTGCGCCCGCGGCCGCCTCTGCCTGCGGCCGGGCCCAGCCTCTGGCTTTTAAAGCCCAGAAGCTGAGGGAGGGGGAGGGAGGGGAGGGAGGAGAGGCCGGCGGAAATGGCTGCGCTGGGCCGGGCCCGGCTGGGGTCTCCTGGGAGGGGTCTTGGGGATGCCGCGGCCCCCGCATGTGTGGATTTCCCCCGAGCAGCTTCGGGAATGGAGGCCCAGCGGTCTGCGGCATTGTCGTGCGTGGTGGGGGGGGAGAAGTGGAAACAGGCCTGGGACTCATGAGCCCCGGACTTGAGATCTTGTGGGGAAGAACGCAGGGCGGATCCCAGCCTGGTCCAGCCTGCCTAGCTTTCGGGTACGGAGGCTAGGGATCTTAGGGGGCGGGTGGGGGAGGCGGGAGGCGAAGGAGCGAATGCTGAGGCAGCGAAAGCGCAGTGTGGAAGCGCGGCGCGCGCCCCGTGCCGCAGTGTCTCCCTGCCACTCGGTCACCCGGGCTGACCCCGTGCCCGCTGGAGAGGCCTCCCTCCACCGCCACCCCCGCCTCTTTCCCAAGGGGCGGATGTCGAGCGTAGCGGCGACGCAGCGAACGGGCTGTGAAGGGGGAGAGGGGCTGCCATGCCCTTGCTCTAGAAATTCGACTTCATTGGTGGTTTTACACCCTTCCGCGCGGCTGCAGCTCCCCCCGGCGGCCCCGCAACCAGGCGGATAACCCTTCCCGCGGCCGCCCGCCCCGAGTTTGCAGCCCCCATGACGTCAGGCCCAGCCGCCAATGGCCGGGCGAGGGGGTGTCGGGGGCTCCAGGCCGCACAATGGCCGCGCGCGGGGACATATGTCCTCAATTAGGGCCCGGAGCTGCCATTGTCCCCTCCCTCGCCTGCGCCGGGTGGTTCGGGAGTCCACGCTCAGAGCGCGCCTCCGCGCGGCCCGCTGTCACTGAAGACCAAGGTCGCAGGGGTGGCTCGGGGGAGTGTCCGGGCGCGGCCGAGCCCGGAGCGCGTGCAAGGTGGGGGCGCGCGCGCACCCGTCGCCACACGCAGTGACCTTGTGCAGGGCGGCACGGCGGGACCGCGGACTCCGGCCGGGAGCGCGCGGCGGGCGGGCCGCTCCGGGAACGTGCGTGCGGGGGCGTGCCGGGAGTGCTGAGCTTAGAGCCCCGCCGCTGCCTGCCCCGCGCCCCGCTTCCTCCCGCACCTCGGCCCCGGAGGCGAGCGAGTGTGGGTGTGAGCAAGCTGGCCCCGCGCTGGGGACGCGGCGGAGACCACAGGCCCGCTTTGTGGCATTGGCCACGGCCGCGGCTGCATATTCATCTTGCGTGGCAGGCGTTCCCGAGGGGCGGGGGCGGGGCGTCGCCGCCCCCTTATCGCCAAGCCGCAGCCGGCGAGGCCCGAAGTGGGGGCGGGGACGGGGACCCCCCCCCCCTCGGGCAAGCCTGTCGTCCCTGCTCCCTCCCAGGAGGGCCCGGCCGAGGCGCAGACGGAGGCGCGGGGCCAATTAGCATTTTGATTGCGGGACTGGGGGCCCATCTGGACCGAGGCCTAATTACCGGGCAAACCCTCCGGGCGCGGGCTGGACGTGCCCGGCGCAGTCCCTTCCCCAGCGCCACCCCCCCCACCTCCTCCCGGACAACCCGCCCCTGTCTCCCGTCTGACTTCATCCCTGTCCCCTCCTCTACTCCCAGTCACTCTGTCCTTGTGCTCGTGTTTCCCTGGCGCCTTCCCTCATTCGTCCACTCGGCTACCCGTCCTCCTGTTCACGGTCCGCCCCCTTCACCTCTTCGGTCATTTTTCTCTTCCTCCATCCAACCTCCTGTCCCTCCACCCCCTGGTTCGCTGTCCGTGTCCCTGCCTCTCTCTGTCAAGTGCCCCGCCCCCTTGGCTCCCAACCCTCTTGATGGACAAGGCGCCGGGGCACAGACACATGTGTCCCACGGCCGGGTGCTCCCGAGGGGACCATTCGGGCGGCCCTTGATCGGGCTCGCTCAGGTGGAGTCCGCAGCCCCTCGGGGCGCCTGGCGGGGAGGGGCAGGTGGGCCCAAGCCTTGGCCATCAGTCCGCAGTGGCCGGGGTGGAGAACGCACATGCGGCCCAGTCTCAATTACTTGGGCCTCCTCACCCCGCCTCCTTCCCAGCACCCCTCTTGCCCCCGCCGGCATCCCAAGGTCGCTGCGCCCCAGTCCTGGGGTCCAGCTAGGAGAGACTGGGGAAGGAGAGATGGTGATTCTCATGCTTTTGGAAAGTTTCAGCTGTCTTCCACTGGAGGCCACCCTGAATCTCTCCCACTGAGGGTGGAGGCCTGGTGGGGAGGCTTTGTTGCAGGAGAGGACAAGGTAAGACAAGGGTGCTTTGGCTCCCAGAGGACTCAGCCAGTTGAGGGTTACTCCAACCCTCAGGGCCTTAGCACCCAGGGAGTTGGTCTGTCCACCCTGCCCCCATGGAGCCTCTGGTCCTCAGAAACTGTTCCCTCTGTCCTGGTTCATGTTGCAGCTGGGCCCAGCCTCTTACCCAGCTGGGATGAGGGGATGCAGTGTTGGTTCTATGTCCCTCTATCTCCCTCTGCTTCTGGGCGTGCCACCTCCAGCCCTGAGCAGGTCCCATGTTGCTGAAAGGTCAGGCTTTAAAGGGGAGACTCACTGAATTATGTCCCCAGCAACCTGCCCCCAGCAGAGCCAGGATCCCTGTGTGTGCTCACTCCTGGGCCCTGTGGTCACCTTCTCACCCCCCTCCACTCTAATAGGACTCCAATCCAGTCTAACCTAGCCTAGAAGGTCCGCTCCTCCTTCTGGATCCCCCTCCCTGGCTTACCGGGATCCCACCCTAGCTAGGAGCCTCTTTTGTTCTGGCTCCTTGGTACCCCAGCACCCCCGTCCTCAGCCTTCTCTTTGGTAGAATGTGGGATGGGGTGTTTTTCTGAAAGCCAGTTGGGATCCTGTGTGCATAGTGGGCTACCCATGATCTGCTCATTCTGTTTCCCAGCTGTGAGGTGAGACTCACAGCTCATAATAGCCACTCCTCACCTGCTTCTAGAGCCCATGGCCAGTCCAGGACACAGATACTAACCAGAAAGATGAGTAGACCAGGTGATAGCTTGGATCATGAGAGGAGGAGGGGGCAGAGACCAGGCCTGGGAGACAGTTGTGGGCTTTAGCCTCTATTCCAGAGGAGATGGGAACGTATATTTTTGAGGAGCAGCAGGGAGGTCAGTGGGGATAAGAAGAGTGGTTGGGTTCATCCAGGTTTGGGCTTTTGCCAGGTGAGCTTCTGAAAGGGGCATCTGGGACCAGAGGGTGTGACAATGATTGTGGAATCTAAATGGAGTGAAGAAGGGGTGAGGACACGACAGTGTGGGGCTCCGGAGTGCTGGGGTCAGCATCTGCAGGACCGAGCTGGGGGGCAGGTGATGCTCTGAGCATGGGGTGTTGAGGAAATGCCAGAGTGGGGCTGAAGGGGGACAGTTACAGATGGCGACAGGGTCAAGGGCATAACTGGGGCAGAGGACGAGGTCATTGGCAGGAAGAAGGGGTCAGGACTGAGGAGCAGGGAGTTGAAGGGTGGTCACAGGACATCGAGACCACCAGGAATTCAGACCTGGCGCAGCGATGGGGCCATGCCCACAGCAAGGGCTGGTGGTGGTGGTGGGCACAGCGGGTGGCTGGTATCCGCTGGGACTGCTGCAGAGAGGAGTGGGGAAGGGGCTGCAGGCCACAGTGAGGAACAGGGCGGGTGGGTGCCCCCTTCCAGGCTAGGGGGCTGAGGTAGGGAGAGAAAAAGCAGCCCCCAGAGAAGGCTGGCAGGAAGAGAGCAGGGCAGAGGGGAGCTGGGGTTCCCAAGGGAAAGTGAAGGCCCAGCAACAGGGCTGAGGTTGTTGGTGGGAGGGGTTACTGGTGACTGGCTGGACACCAAAACAGGCGATGTGTACCGGGTGAGGCTCATGAGGACAGCGGCATGAGGCAGAACAGGTCCCTGCTGGGGCAGGAGATTTGGAGCTACAGGGGAGAAGGGAGACCCCGAGGCAACTAAAAATGTCTACTTGAAAAAGACAAGGAAAAACAAAGAGCAAATATCAAAGTAGTAGAAAATATTTGTATAACAATGGATTAATATTCTGATTATAGAATAGCTGCT